CAGCCTACAGTTTCATGCAGTGAAACTAATCACATATCTGACTAAAGAAATGAAGAGAGGGAATTCTGTTAGTAAAGAATTTGATTTGCTCAGTGAAAAAGAAAAAAAAACAAACAAAACAACAAATAAGCCAAACCAAACCAACAAACAAAAAACACCATAAAGCAAAACAAAAAGGGAGTTGGTTTTTTTTAAAAGACATTATGATATATATGAGGACATTTAGTCAAATAAGTTATGTGAAGGCAGAGGTTGTGTAATTGCAAAAATGAGGTCAGATTGTATGAGGATAAAAGAGGAAAAAGAATATGGAAAAAGACTTCTAGAAGAACCTGCTTGAGCTGAGAGGCAAAATAAAGGTCAGCTGGCCTTCAGGACAGAAGAATGGATCACAGCTTGAGATGGATCTGCAGAGCATAGTAAAAATCCCCATAAACTTACAAGAACTTTCAAAATAAAACCAACTGGAAGGTGCAAGGGGCTATCTGCAAAATGCAGTCAGAAAAAGCCTGCAAGAAGCAAGAGTGAAAACAAAGTGTTAAAGCGGAGACCAGTGGGACTTCCAATATCTCCTTTGGACTTAGTAAAGAGAAAACCACGTTGACTTAAGGAGACCAAAGCTGAAGATACAGACAAAGAAAAATTATTCAGAGAACACACATTGAAATAAAGTTTGTCTTTGGGGATGGGTAAAGACAGAGCTTCCTCCAGTGGTGGGGATATCGTGTGTAGATACTTCTCAAGTATTTATAAGTTGAGCACTGGCACACCAATTAATAGGCCCTCTGACATTGCTGCAAACCATCTGGAAGGAAAATCTAAGCTTATTAAGAACAGATGGATAAGAACCAGGTCAGCCTTCCCTATTGCTCCCATTTGTAAGCAAGATGTAAAAGTAACTCTGTAAAGACAGTTTGAGTTGCTCTGGGAAATAGTGCCTAGCACTCAACATGCCAGACAACAGGCTTCATCAAAAGAAACAGGACTGCAAGAGAACAGGAACAAATAGAAAAAGTTGTTCCCTGAGACATAAGAGTCTTATTCCTACAGATCTGTCTCCTGCAGGCCCCTAAAGCCCTTTCCCAAACCCTCAGACCCCATCATTACCACAGCTACACAGTGATTCGGGATAATTATTCCCTCGAACTAGAAACAGCCTTGTTAAATAATGCAATTGTTGAGCATGTCACGCCAAGAACAATATGTGTGTTTTCTTCACCTGGCACCCATACAGTGGTTGTGCCAGGTTATGGGGCTCAGGTTGATTTTTAAAAGTTTAAGTGTTTTGGAAAATAACATCTCATTCAGCATGTTCAATCAAGCGTTGGGTTACTGCAGTTTAGCCGTCCTGTAATAAATTCTCTCAAAATTGTTAAAAAGGTTTCTTACAAATGTTGTAAAGTCAAACTAGGCACCAGTAAATTAAAAGAAAGCCTGAAAACTTGCTGAGGTGTTACTTAATAGAAAGCCTAGAACACTTACATGAATATGTAATCAACTGTGTTAAAGCTAGGGATGCTGTGAAGCTCTAAGAGCACCACAAGAAAATCAATTAGAAATACATTATGATGAAAAGATCACTTGAGCTAACAGCTTTGCAGGCAGAGACAAAGACAGTACACATCTGAGTACATAGAAGAAATGCATTATTTATACAGTTACAAAAAGCAATTGATCCTTCTGAATTGTCGCTGGTTCCTGAAAAGCAATTGCTAATGAAATTTCTGGAAAAGCTGCCGGTGCCTGCAGCTGTCTCTCCCAGAGATCACAAAGAGAGTCTGCTGTTGCAGGACAAGCCCACCCCAACACCTGCCCGTCCGGTGCCAGTCTGGCTGACTGGGGAAGCAGCAAACCCCATAGAAATGAGTTTGGCTACTCACGGAATTCCTCAGGCCAGACTTTTTTCCATCACCATCTTGGTGACTCTGAAACTGTCAGTGCCATGTATGAGTTAACCCATTCTCAACAAAGGGAAGAGAGATCTCCAGGTTTTTTCAGGGGAAAAAAATAATGACTCAGAAGTCCACAGATCCACACTTAGTGCCTGGCAACTATTCCATATGTTGATGATGGTTTGCAAGTATTTCTCATCTATAAGGTTGGTGAAGAATGCTTTCTGCTCAGTACTTCAAAGGCACCCAGGCACTCCAGAGGTAGCAGGAGGTTCAGGTTGGGAAGAAGTTTTAGCAAATTTACAATACTGAACAAAACTCCCACGAAGAAGTATTCACAGATTAAGTTGCTTTTCACTTTTACTAGCAGTTTCTGCTCTCAGTGCCTCACTAACTGAAATATTCCCAAGTCTTTTAGCTTTAGATTCCCAAATCTGCTGGGCTAGAGGTTCAATTTCATCTTATGCCAGTCAAAATTCATGCTGCAACCCGCCCCGCTTCCTTACTGATGTCAAAACAAGCAGAACTGGAAACTGCTAATGCCAAACACTGTATTTTGGAGTTGTGTTTTGTGGTGGTTTTGATTAGGTCAGTTTTCAAGCAGGTGAATGCCCTGCATCTGCTCCTTCCCATCCACTCTCCCTGTCACTGGAGGCAGGACTGCTGCTTTGGGACACATAAAGGGAGTGTTGCAGAGAGTGACCATGAAAGAGCGTGGGCTCCTCAAGGACAGCTTCCATGTCAGATCCAGTACTGCAGCACCTGCAGAGCCCATAGCAGTCCCACATCAGCACACTTACAGCTGCTCACACCAGGCCCTGTCTGACCTTCTCAATATAACACCCAGCACCTAATTCTGGAAGCAGCTGGAGGCTGCAAGAAACTCTCACTGCAGTCAGAAATAGTTTTGACTTACTGGAAAATCTCATTGTCTTCCAAACTGTGCACGTTTGCACGTGTTCTCTGTTCTCTGCCTGGTTTCTTCTTTCTCAGATCAACACCCCCTCCTTTTTCAGTGGCTGGCCTGCTTCTCAGCAGGCTCTCCCTTACTTTCTCCTGCCCCCAACAAGTTTGGCAATCATACTCTGAAGCCCATCTTGCTGGAAACAACTTTTTCCCACATGATGGATGGTTTCTTCTGTCATGGAGGAGAAGAATGGGAGAAGATGGTTTGTACAAAGGCATCAATCCACAGAGCATTTTTTCTAATAACTCTCATAATTCTTTAATAACAAAACTCTTCCCAAACCCTCCATCTCCATGCCCTTGTCCTGCCCAAAGGCTGCACATGCAACCCCCCATAAGCTGATGAAGCTATGGAGAAAAACTATGCAATGTTGCAAGGACCAAAGAAAGGTGACAGCTGAAAATGGTCATTATTCAGTCCCTTCTCTTCCTTGCAAGCCTGCAGCTCCGAGGAAGCAAGGGGTGAAGGCTGCCCATGCACAGCACCATAGAGTGCCACAGCCAGGCAGCAAGTCTGTAAAACAAAGACCTCTATGTAATCTCAGCTAGCTATAAAATTATCATCTTAAAACAGACTTTCTGTTATTGTTTGTACAAATAATGCTCAGGTTCATGTTCAGGCAAGGCACAGGATGCAGATCTAGGACAACTGACAAATCCATGGCAAACAGATCTACAAAGTCACGGCAGTTTTCCAACGCAGTAGTATTGATAGTACAGGAGAGCAATTAACTGTTCACCACTTTCCTTATTGAGAAAGGTGTGTGGCAGCTGGTATGTGCTTTTCTTATTTTTTTTAAATAAAAAATATCTTATATTCAGGGAAAAAGTCCATTTAAGTGACTTTCACTTTTACTTCCTGACTGCATAGAAAGTTCTCTGCTTACCTGTGTCTGACAAGATTAGATCATTAATTTGCAAAAGAACAACCTTTAGGCTCCTACAAAAGCAGTGGGACATGGAAGTGCATGAATTAGGGCAGCCCAGGGACTCATTGCACTCAGTTGTCTTTCTGACATTTTCTAAGGGCACTGGCTGTGCCTGAAAATAACAGGCTTTAGGAAAACTGATGAGACCTTACACACATCCCTCCTCTTGGTTCCTTCCACATATGGCATGCACAGCTGAACCACTTGTGACTCTTGATGAATTATGACAGCTTATACATCAAGACTGTTTTAAAATAAACCACAAATTTTTGTTTCCACGCTATTGGTCATCCTAAATGTTATCCCACCATCCACCAAGTTTCAAGTACTATGACCACAACCCAAGCTTCCCCCACATCATCCCAGTTGGAGCACACACCACTGGGAAACTTCTCAATCACTGGGAGGAGTGCCAGGCAGCAGCAGGGCAACACAAAATAGCCATCACCAACTTCAGCCTGCGGGGTGGAAAGGAGGTGGCCATGCCAGTGGCCACCCTCACACAGACCCTTTGTCTCACTGCTCACTGCTGCAGGCAGTGGCTCTGCAGCCCTGGTGGGACACTGCTGTGTGCCATTATTCAGCTCACCACAGACTTCCTCACTGTTGGTGTCATGGCATGGTGGGGAGTTAACTTCAGCAGCTGCAATATGCCTGCTTTTCTTGACCTAAACCCAGTGGGGACAGAAGAAGGACAGGATGTCACAGAGGCGGTCGAACTTGACATAGCAGAACAAGGTGAGAAGAGATGTCAGCAATGAGACCAGGAAACAAAGCAAAGTTCTTTGCCAGCATTACTTGCAAAGCCTCTGGAATGCAGGAGCTTCCTACCATTTGCTGAGAAGACAGGCCATGATTCCTTTCTTGTGCACCACGACGTAGGTTCTTTCACTTTTCCTTCTTCCACATTCCTTGCCCAGTCTCCCTTCGGCACATCAGTACCATCATAGGCAGGAATCAACCCTAAGTGATTGTATCAGTTAATTGTACACTCAGTAGTGGTGGTTTCAGCAGTAGTAGGTGTCACTGCATCAGGGCATGCAAGGCAAGCTCATCCTTGTTCCAGGCTAGAGTGAATGCTGAAGTTTACTGCTTTCTGCTGGAAAAATAATAGCCCCTACCAAAAAAACTATCCCCCAAAACCATCAGGGGAATGATATTTGTTAACCACATTATGAAGTGTTCCAAAGCTACTACTAAAGTTGAACAAAGATTAAAAAATAATTATAAAGAGTAATTTATTCGATATGAATTCAAAGGAGATTCCACCATTCATTACAGGACCACACACTGGGTCTCAATGCTGTACTCCAAGATATAGGCAGGGTAAATTTGTTGCTTCTCAAAGATGACAAAGATGGAAGGGTCTATTGGGTCATCCACACAGCTGTCATAAAGTCTGTTTGAATTGCTGGCTCGGGCTGGAGGGCGACAGTATTCAGAGTTTCCCTGAACAAAGTCTCCAACAAGAACTTGAGCTACAAACATGGTGTAGCGACCACTGCGAGCGGAACAGTATTGGTGAGAATAGCTGGCATCTCGGGCAAAATAGCTTCCTAGGGACCAGAAAAAGGCACAGGTAAGACAATACAGCAGCTGAGGAACAATCTGTGGTCAGCACTTTGGTAGCCAGTGATTCAACAACTCCAGGTAGCCCTACGCACATTCTTGCCAAGATGACAACACACGTTGGCTTATTTTAAAGCATCGACAAACTCTAGTCATATTTCACCATCAACCTCCCAGTCCCACCTGCCCAAGAGCTTTGCAGAACTGCGGGTACCTGAAGCAAAGAGAGGTGTTTTTAGTCCCTCCTGGAAAGGGATTGCTGTGGATGCTGTCTGCAGCAATGCAGATGGAGGCAGGGGAGAGTGCTCTAATGGCAGGAGTGCAGGGATCAGGGACAGTCAGTCACATCACACCCACATAGGAGCCTGGCCAGGGTCTGCAGCCCATGCTGCTACAGCCCCTACAGCCACACTTCTGCACTTGTACCTTTTCCATACATTGTCCCATGAGTCCCACAGAGCCTCCAGTCAAAGTTCTGCTCACAGATGGCAGACACGTGGGATGGATCTGTCCCATGGAACAGGAGCCGCTCATCCACCCTTTTTGATTTATTGACCTTCTTCATCTTCTCTTTTTGCCTAGAGCCCAAAAAAAAAAGAAAAAAAACAATGACTTGTTATCCTGGTTCACATGAGGACAACTTCCCAACTCAACTCCTCCTACTTTTGGGTCATGGAGAAACAGTGACACAAACCACTCTCAGTGGGGTTACTGCCTGCTTTGCACTTCTGTTGGTACCCTGCTGCACAGCTGGCTCGTGCCAGCAAAACAAAAAGTTCTCAGCATCGCTATGGACTGTGTCACCCACAACTTCATACCACATAAGAGAGTAAAGAGACAAACATCTCTTGACTGGAAATTGGTCAGTTCTCATGTTATATAAATCCTGAATGCATAAATATGATTATAAAACTGAGCTGTATGAACCCACGGTGAAGATTGTATAATCTCTGCTCCACCTTTATCATAAAAAAGTCCCTCCTTTTTTTTTTCTTAAACTCCTGCGTGGAAGAAACTAAAACCAAAGGAATAAACTTGAAATACCAGAGCTCAGTTATGATGAAGGAAAAGAATTTATTTTTTGAATAACACTAGCAAGAATCACATACACAGCCCCATTAGGTTATGTGATAAAAGGCTCATTTCCACACACACAAAAGAACACAGAGGCAACCCCAGTCACAGAGAGGAGCCCCAGTCTCCTTCAAGGGCTGCCCCAGGGGAACCTCAGCCCCAGGGAAGCCTCAAACCCACAGATCAGGGAGACACTTGGCACCATGAACAATGGAACAGGCCCAGAGCAGTTCACAGACATAAAGAGGGTACTGCCCATGAGAGTATGGGACTTGTTATGGGACAGAGGGGAAGTGCATTCAGAGATTGCACAGGACTTAAAACGCGATGTTTAACAAGAGGAACTGCAGGTGGGAGAAGGGTGAGATCAGGATGGCCTGAGAAAGATAAATAGGAAAATAGATGGACAAGGGGGTAAAAAGGGTTGGTTGTGTAAAAACAGGCCACTGCCTGGTTAGTAGGCTGGTCTGGCCACATCCAGTGCCTGATCAGGACAGTCTGCCCTATCTTCTCATTAAACTCCAGTTTCTAACTCTTACATTGGTGATGGAGTCTCCAGCCTGTGTGCATGCACGTGTTGGGGGTCTGTGTGTGGCAACTGGAGTAGGACCTTGGGTCACAGGAGCCATATATCCACAGCCCCAGCAACTGCAGCAAACGAGGGCACGTGTGCCGGTGTGTGACCACCAGCCAGTGTAAGGCTGGACAGCCAGTAAGGAGGGGAGCTGGCCCAGGAGTCAGGTTTTGGAGCAGTCATAAGTCTAAGCCAGATGCTGGAGAGACCAGAAGGTCTGAGCTTGCTTATGAGTGGGACTGGGAGGTCCAGGCCAATCGCTGAAGACACCGTGAAATCTACCAAGATCCATTTGCATGTGTATTTGTCTATGCCAAACATAACTGGAGATAAGAGGACCCAGGGGCCAGCAGATGAGTAGGCTAAGACCAGCTCCTAGAGGGATCCCTCAATGTATATGTATTCCATTAACAGGCTTTTATATTGACATTCATTTTGACACTCATTTCTGTTCAGCCAGAGGAAGGGACAGCAGTGAGGCCATTGGTGCTGTTTACAATTGCACGAGTGCTGTGCTGCCCGTGTTGATTTCTCTGTGCGTATTCATATATTTTCTGTATATGCACATGCACCTACTGGGAGCATGTGCTGAACCTCACTACTAACCAGACCCAGGCACACAGGTACATGGCAGCCTCACCTCTGCTGAGCCACTGGATTTGGCAACTCCTAAGGTAGGCTATGGAGGACAATAGATTAGGAAATGTTGGTCTTCTGATATCATAAGTAAAGTGAAAAAAAATAGATACAAACCAATGAAAAAGTTCCCAAAGTGTTGGGTTCTGGATCCTCTGAAGTTGGTTGATGCAATAATCTTTCATCGTCTTTTCAAACAGCCTTTTGATTTTTCCATATTCGTGGGAATCAAAGCTGAGCTGTATCAACTGAAAATTTTAAAAACACCAAAAATAGGGTATTACTGACAGTAACAACTCCCAGTCCTCCCAAAGGACTCATCAACCTCCTCACATCTACATAAAAATCACAAGCTCCTTCTGTTTTTCCTGTTAACCATCCTCTCCCCATGAGGAAGCACAGACACTAACTGAGGGAAATCAGTGCAATCCAATATGAGCTTCCTTCGGTGGACACACCTCCGCATCCAGATTATTTTGAGTTCAGAGTAACCTAAAGTTGAAATGCACAGCAGTATTCAGGCTGGAGAAGAGTGGAAAGTTTTGCCTTAATCTGACACCCTAGCTCCTTCCCTACAGGGCTAAGTTGTAGTTTTACCACAGCAAATAACATTTTGCCTCAAATCAACAGGGGAAATATTACAATACCCCCTTAAGATGCAATTCCTCCAGTTTATCAGATGAGGAGGTGCCTTGGGACAGTGCAAAGGACAGATCAGACCAGTAATGGCCAAAAGAGCCTTTCTTATCCTGCATGGTATCGTAGGGGTTTCTCAGAGAGCTTCCCAGGAAACACACATCTATTCTGACTGTGAAACTGTCAGTCTTGTTTCACATCATAGTTGCTTATTTTTATAAGACACGTTTAAAAGCTGGGAACATCTCAACTGCCTTGACTCATGTTCTCAGGAAAATCAGTACAGGACACAGTTCATCCTACCCACTGGAGAGCTGGAAAGACCTACCTTGAACCCAATGTCGGGTAGTGCAGACTGGTCCCATTGTGGAGGATAGATAGAACAAGATAGAGTCGTGTTTTGGCTGCAGAAGAGAAAGAGAAGCAATTTAGTCGATACTTCTAACCAAAACCCCCTTCTGAAGAATCCAACCACGGGTTCTACAGCAGCATTCAGGTATCCCTGGATTTTTATTTTTGTTTTACTTTTCTCATAACTATTATCCCTTTCCCCAGTTTAGATTTCCACACACATCCTAGCGGCACTGATGCATCCCTTGGCAGGTCAAGATACTGGTAGAAGAGCTTCAAACGAGAAGTAACACCTTCCTAGCTCGCTGGTTTATCCAACTGCTCCAGACAGCCCTCCACATGTGCTATCTGAACATCTCAAGGAAACCAGAGCATGAGCCCTCTCCTTCCATGTGGCCACCCTTCTCTGATTCACTAGCCAGATGGGTGGCCAGTGGTACTGTCCCCAGGACCAAGCCAGCCAGGAGCCTGTGGATGCACGGCTGTGCCCTGCAGGCACTACTGCACCAGTCAGTGCTCAACAACTTCCAGCACTATGCCCTCCTGGCACCCAGGTTTTAACCCAGGCAATAGGAGCATCATCATCCATTCAGGATCTATAGTTTGGTTTGGTTAGGGTTTTTTTTTAATTAACCCCCCTTTGGTTGAACCAGCCCTTAAACTGAACCCTCAGTTTCACACGCACTTTCTATCGGTGAGTTTCTGAAGCAAAGGCAGCTCTTTTTAAAATAAATCAGTAGCACAACTGACATTTACAGCAGATGTGCTCCAATTCTGTTAAGCTGAACTTCCTTCAAAAAAAGCCATGAGATAGGGCATCTCAAGTAAGTGCCTCTAGTTCATTTAATTTAGGGGGATTTGCCTGAATTTGTGTTTTAATATATCCTCAGCTTTCCAGGGAATGGTATCCATATGCTCCACAGCTCTTGGGATTGGCAGTCTCTTGCTCCTAATCTCTGCACAGTTTATTTATTAGCTTTGAGGCATAAATCAAGGAATAAAAATTCCTGGCACTGTTGGGTCAGCCTTACGTAGCCTTGCCTCTCACAGAGAGAACAAATCCACTCTAGTGGTCTCTCACAGCTGCCAGACACTGCCACCAAACATCTCTCCAGAGTGCTTCACAGAAGTGTTGCATAATTTACAAATACTGTAGCCACAAAATTTACCACTAGAGTCATCTAAAAATGAATTTAAGAAATCGAAAATTGCATTTTAGACAGGTAGGAGGAACTTCTAAGCAGAAAGGTGCTGTCCTATAGAGACATTGTTAAATAATGCATGTATATTACCTTGTGTCTTGTCCACCTTCAGGTAACAGATGTTTTGGCAGTCGAATAACATTTCTTTGTGTTTTAAAGAGCAAATTTGTTTGGACCATGTCTTCAAAGAAAAACACAATAACTCAAAAATTCATTGTCCAGGAACACACTCTTATATGTTAAGTAAAAATAAAAGAGGAGGTAGCCCTGAATATTGTATTGTGGTGCTCTCTCTATCCCACCCACCCCAGTCCAGACTTCATTACTGTTCTCACTTGCACTGCTCCTACTTGGAGATCAGCAAGCACAGGTTGTGAAACTCAAAGGCAACCAATCACCAACTGCACCTGCATATGTATTTGCACCCAGGCTGCCAGCCAGAGAAAACTAGGTCTGATGGTAGGCCTGCAGCAGGGAAGAGTTTTCAATACAATGGGGGCCATAAACCTGACTTTCCTGGCAGCACTGGGTTGTTACGTGGTGCTAAGAGGAAAGTCTGCCCTCTCTTCTTGGTCCTGTAACAATCTCACAGAGCACACGCTGTGTGACATGGCTAATTATCCATTGTTTCCTCCTTTAAACACCACTTTTGATTCATGCCAGGAAACAGATTTAAAGTTTGGAAAGCTAACAGGAGTTTTAAGATGGGTAAATAAATTAGAAACAGAAAAGCATTTCTCATTTTCCCATTTCTCTCTCTGTGCAACCAGCCCTAAATTTTCATTAGCTGCACTCTGTGCTTTCTCTCCCCATAATTAGCTTGCAAGATGTCCACTACGGTCTCACTTCTTTACCACTTGACTTTTAAGTCTTTTGTTTTGGGTTTTTTTCTGGTTTCTCGTTCCTTCTCTTTAGTTGTATAAATCCAAATGGACAAGCCAGGTGCCATGAAGCAAAGCATTTACTCTCGACCCTTCTTCTGAATATACAATATTGTCAGAGATGCTTTTTTGACTACAGATGCCCAAGTGTAGAAGCTTGAGCAAGGCATCTCAGAACTGCAGAGAAATGTACATACTGCTCAAGTTCTGCAGCATTGGAGAAAATTTGCAGGAGGAAAAAGACCTGTTCAAAGAGATGCAGACATAGGGTGAAAGCTCTGCATGGAAGAAGATACCTTCGAGCCAGCTGCACTGTGTAACAGACTTAAAACAAGGATATACTTCACCTGCAAAGTTTATCTTATAGTGCTGAGAACCAGCCGAGAAAAAAATAACAGCGTTCTTGTCAGCTAGATATTCATTCTCCAGAAATGCAGATGTTACACTGGCAGAGCAGTGATCTGGATGCTGTAGAAAGAACAACGAAATTATACCTGTTAGAAACCACCCTTCGGTTTAGGAGTCACTGTGGGGAAGTACCAGTGTTTCCCCAGGCCTCTATCATGTGATGCTGCTCTGAAGTAAGTCTCTAAGGTTTAAAGTATTTTATTCTGCAGTGACAGAGGGGTACCCCACAGAGAACAGCTGCTTGTAACAACAGCAACAAAGCAGCCTTCAGCCTGTGTGGTCAGCTTCAGCCAAAAGATGTCTGTCAGCTCTGGAAAATGCACACACTTTCAAAGCCAGTCCTTTAAAAGCTTTCGCAGAATTCCAGTCCTGCTTTGAGGGACAACTAATAAGACAATTCCACCCGAGCATCGGAGCAGCACTGCAAGGGCACCCAGTGGTGCGTGTAGAACACACCAGCTGCAGAACAACATGCCCTAAATAACTGTCCAAAGATGATTCAACAAAAGCTTTTGGCATCAACAGCAGATGGATCTCACCTCTTTCCCATACTCAATCCACTGCTCAGAATCATCAAGCCAATACCAGGAGTACTCCATTTCAGGAGCAGACAGATGAATCCAGAGATAACACAGGTGCAGAAGAGCTGATCAGTGCTTGGCTGCTTGCTCTGCTCTATATTGAAAGAGAAATCCAGATTCAAGTAGGATCTTCCAAAACTGTCAAAGTATGCAATATCCCTGGTCTGATCAGAAAGCTAATCACTTCTCAAAAAAGGAGACCCCCTTCAGCTGGAAAGTGCAGGTTTGCCCCAGAACCAAGGTACTGCTGTTTATACATTTATGTGACTGTCTCAGTTTAAAGAGACTGGAGTGTTTTGCTAAGGAGGACGAGTTATGAGGTAGACCAAACTCCTCTCTCTCAGCAATTGGAAATCCAAAATTAAAAGGCTCCAATCGAAGAAGCAAAGAAAAAGGAAGAAATAACAACCCTTTATTAAAGGATAGATGTAAATTGGCAAAAAACAGTAACAGAACACAAAAACAACTAAGCAATAATCCTGTACCCAAAAGACCCCTTCGAAAAGGAAACAGCCTGATATTTCTCTGTCCCCTAGCGCGGTTCTAATCAGGGTTGGCAGGAGCGCTGTTGGATCGCCGGAGGAGCAGAGCCTGCAGTGCTCGGTGGCGGTCGGGAGGGGAGCGCTGTTGGGCTCCGGCGGCCACCGCGGGGGGCCCCGGATCACGGGAGGAGCCGCAATGGAGATCTCCCAGCCCCAAGGAGGGGAAGGGGAGAAGGGGAAAGAAGGGCGGTTTCTTTCCCACGAAACTCACTTTGTCTGCGGCTGGCTGCGGTCGGGACTCCTCCGTTTCCCCGACGAGCACAAACTCTCCGATGAATTCTGAGCAGATTCGGGCTGGAGGCAGGGGCAGCGCGCAGGCAAGCTGATGACCAGGTCGAGAGCAAAACATACACACCTTGCCTCCCTTAAGGCAAAAAGTTAAATGTTCCCCCTTTGTAAGGAGAGGAGGAGAAAATACTCCCCTCCCTGCTGATTTGGAAGGGCCATTAGCCTGGAATGTAGTTCTGCCAGCCAGCTCCTTGGTGTAGTTAATCACCCAAGGCAGAGAGCTGTCCTCCCAACACAATATCCTTCCCCCACATGCAGCAGGGCAAAGGAAAATTCCCGTTTGGTTTTCTTAGAAAAAGTAAACCCTTGACAGTGGCATGGTAAGCACCACAGAAATAACCCTGACCTCTCTGTCTTGGACCTGTATCGCTGTTTTTCTCTACAATATATCTTTCTAAAATACACATTGTAAGGAAATACACTTGACACAATAAACTCAGTTTGTTGCATGAAGGCCAGTGATGCCACCTGGCTAACAGGCATAAGATTTGGCTTCTGAGCAGTGTGTGATCAGCTGCAGAAGTCAGAGTGCTTTCAGAAGGCACTGATAGCATCATCCCTCCTTCAATGTTCAGGAAAACAAAGCTGCTGCTCACAGGTACTGTACCAGGTGCAGGTGCTCAGGTCCTGGCAGTGGTTGGCTGAAGGGATGGCCTCTATGAGCAAAGCCCCTGGGGTGCCTCACACCAGACACAGCCAGCTCAACAGACCCACTGCGGGACACAGCTGAGCTCATCAGCCAAGCTGGTGGTGCCTCTGAGAAAGCTGCTGAGCAGTGAGGAGTAAGGAAAAATGTGAGAGAAACAACCCTGTAGACTCCCTGGTCAGTGAAGAAGGAGGGGAAGAGGTGGTCCAGGTGCTGGAGGAGAGATTCCATTCCAGCCCTTAGAGAAGGCCATGGTGAGGCAATCTGCCTCCCCACAACCTGTGGAGGACCATGGTGGAACACATATCCACGCTGCAGCCCATGGAGAACCCCATGCTGCAGCATGTGGGCAGGCCCTCAAGGAAGCTGCAGTCCATGGAGAGGAACCCTTGCTAGAGCAGGCTTATCCTGAAGGACTGCAGCCCCTGGGAAATGAACCGTTCTGGAGCATGGGAAATTTTTGAGCATGATGGAGGTGCAGAGGGCAACTCTCACTGAGTTACCGAGGACAACATCCATTTCCCTTCCCTGCTGTATTGGGGGGGGGGGTGTAGGGGCAGGGGGAGGTAGAAAAGTCAGGAACAGGGGAGTGAAGTTGAATCTGAGAAGACAGGGAGTGATCTTCTTGTCTTTATCTCAGCTCATGAACTTTTCCATCTTATTTTCTCTCTCCTGTCCTTTTGAGGATGAGGAGTGAGAGCTAGCCAGGTGTCTGACAGCCAGACAAGGTCAAATTCCTTGGAGCGGGGGATATCATTACTTACCAGCAAAGTCTCTGCTCTGCGCTCTACCCTAGAGACACAGCACCTACGAAGAGAAGAAGCTGAAACAGGTAGCCACCAGTAATTCCAATTTGGAGGATTTTACTTTGCTTGCTGCTGTGCTTCAGCCTCCATTCAATATCCCAGTTTTGGACCCAGACAACACTTTTTTCACCACTTCACTGTCCCTGCAACATTAACTATCGTGGATCACATACCCATAGCTGAGAGATGCCCCCCTGCCAGCCGTGGAGCTTGCAAGGGTCTGTGGCAAGGGTCTGCTCTGAGCTGCCTGAAGAATTTGAACACAATACGGAAACAGAAACTGGAAATGATCGTGTATCCGGCTCTGACGTCCTTCATACTTCGGCAGGGATCATGGGAATTTGGAGCAGGCCAGTGAGAGGAAATGGTTATAGGAGGAGCTCCCTCACAGAGCTATTTACAGTGCAAAGGTCCACACAACAAAGGCTTGGCAGTCCCTGGACTGCCAGAAGAAAGAGCGAGGAAAGACTCAAGTCTCCTTTGCAGATGTCGCTTGTTCCAGTGCTGCCTTCAGACCACAGTCGCTCTTTCTGCTCAGTAACAGCAGCCAGGTCTGTTCCTAGAAAATGCTCCAAACTCGTCTTCTCAACCATTGCAGGAGATCAGTCCCACTGCAGGAGATTCAAGAGATCCAGCAGGAGGTTTCTTTGGATGTGGCCATCCCTTTTCTCCCCTCTGCACAGCACAATGGTGCTGCTGCTAGCACTGGCTGAAGAATTTGAAGTTTGTGGATTTGAAATGTGGGATTTGAGGGGGATGGGGGAAATGGAGAGGAAAGTAGGCAAGTGGGGTGGGATGATACTTCCAAGCAGCTTTTCTCCACTGCTGCCTCCCTCCCTCTTCACTCTATCCCCACTCCATAAGCAGATGCTAACCACCCCTGCTGGCTCCCCTGCCAAGATCCAGGGCTCCCAGTCCGCCCTAATCACATGAACCTTGCTTTCAGTTATGCCTTGCTTTCACTTTCCACTTTCTGCTCCTTGCAGGGATTTTCCACTCACCAACTAACCCCAACTAGAAATAAAGAGAGATGAAACACAAAAAGCAGACAGAAATACTTTGCTGGCAGGACAGGTAGTGTCCTTCACCTTTTGCTGAAGATTTCTCTATCGGATCTTGTGCATCTGTAAATTTTTTTATATCTCTACAGGAATAACTTGATACAGAGGGAATTTTAAACATAAAAAGCAACCTCATGCTACCTTTTCTCTCACATAAGGAGAAAAGATGAATTAATGAAATATAAACATGGCTTACGGTATGACTAACTCCAACAGACCTTAAAGCCAAGCCATGAAATCCCCAACTTCCTGTGTCTCTGACCCTCCCTGCTCAGCAGCAACCCCGGGAAAGCTGTCACAGCCCGGCATGTGCCACCCCCCTGGCAGGCTGCCCAGCTACCACCCTTGGGAGCTGGGGGCATTAACCTTGTGCCCGACAGGTTGGATGAGCCTGTTGAACCCCTGCTCCGCATGGGAAAGGTGCCCCAGGTGCAGTAAGACCTTCGAAAATAAAGTACAACTGGCCTGTGAGAACTCCTTGTCAACTCCCAACAGCACATCTGTACCTTGCTGTCTCTGTCGAAGCCTCTCTCCGTGGGACAGCATGGATACCTCTGTGCCACAGACCCTCAGGAAGACGGAGCTGAGTAACATTTCCTTCTGGTTATTGCGACATACGCATGCGCGTCTGCCAGGCGTGAGCACACCCAGCCAGGCGCAGCAGACGTTTCTGGCAGATACATCTGCAAAATCAGCATCATTACGAAGCAGCATGCTTTATTCCTACTGCCCGGTTCCCCTTCATTGCACACCAGCACTTACCTGAAGCCGATTCCTCCCAACTTTCTAGTGGCCGGGGATATTCGGGACCTTCTCCTTTCATCAAGGAGTAGCTTCTGCTGAGCATCATTCTTTGAAAGCCAAAAGCTGGTGATGCCTTGCAAAGTGAACCCCAAACCTCAGTGCAGAAAGTGGGTACATCGCTCAACATGCTCTCCCCAGGCTAGTTATCACACTGCTGGCGGGGTTGCAGTATTCAGTGCTGCATGGAGCCACACAAACCAGTGTATGCCAAGCACAGAGCCCTGTGAGGCAGGCTCAGTCAGCCCTCTGAGCTGTGCACAGTCCCAAGTGTTTGCATTCCTGTACCTTGAAGTCTGATCCTCAGCTCTGCTCTTCCCCATGGAAATCAGAGAAGGGTTAGGAGCTTTCCAGTCTGACCTCGAGCCTTTCAGTCTAAAAAGCTGACAGTGTTTCCCAACATAGCACTGAAGCATAAAGCTTAACAACAGGTCAAGTAGTCTTGACTATGCAAACTTTTTCAGATGTAAACATTAATTTTTTTTTTTGTTACACAAATTGCGTTCAGTTGGATTACCCTGAACATTTTTATTTCACGATGATCCAGTCACACTAGATCAGTAGCGGCTGAAACACATAAATCTCTGTTTGAGTTTCTGGAAAGGGTGCACTCTGAGTGCATTTTATAGACATAGTATTAAAAAAAAATCAAAACATAACGCCACAAATGTGATTATGAAGCTGAACTTACTTTCTTCTGCATCTGGCCTGTCTTGTCTGGCTTTTGACCTGCTATGTAGTATCTGGCTTTCATCTCCACAGTAGCATAACTTTTATGCTTTTATGTTTCCCTTTGACTGATGAGATTTATAGGATCAGGTCCTAGAGCTTCATTTTTGCTTATGTGAATTCTCTAGTAAAATACACTTCTGAACTGAAGCTAAGAACTTCAGTATGCATGAGATAGCTCTAGGAAAAACATTCTGACTTGGTAGAAAATGTTTACATAGCTTTGCTGGGAGCAGCATACCATCCTCTCTAAAAGCAAACAACTCTCCACAAACTGGAGACTTGAGCTCACTGTAAATCGATACCTTGTGAGCATCTTTTTTTTTATTGTTTTTATCCCTTTTAATTGCAATGTCATCCATGGAGCTGTTGAACCTCAGATTTCTCACTGTCAGTGCAGCCACAGTACTATATCTGTCTGTATTTCCAGTATCTGACAGGTCTTGGAGCAGACATCATATATATAGCCCTGCAAGATCATATTCCTGCACAGTCAGCAGAGGCACCCAAGTGTGGTTTCCCTGCATATGTCAAATGATTTATCCTGTATTAAAAAAAAACATGGTCCTCCAGGTAGGGTTTCTTAGTTTTCTCCCAGGAATTTCAATTCTTGTTCACTTTTTCTCTTCAGAGGAAACAGACAAAGAAGGGACATTTCACCCTTTCTCTGTGCCTGTCTGCAGACACACAGCAGCTCTGTTGGATTTTCAAACTGCTCCAAGGTTTGATGTGGGAGTACTGGTGCTACGGCATGGGCATGCTGTGCTCTCAGGGGTCTTGCAGCATGGGACCAGGCTGACAGCACCTCATGCTTCCACCTCAAGCTGTGGAAAATCCCCCAAATCAGCACCTAAGCAGGTGGACTCAGGAAATGTTGGGGTGACCAGGCTCACCTGGTTCTGCAAGGTCTTCTGCAGGTTGGTTCCCTGACCACTCACACAGGATCCTGTCCATGGGCTGCTGTGGAAAGGTGTGCCAAGGGGTTCAGCTTCGGCAAAGCCTGGCATGAGGAGGGACCAACTCTTGTCTGGGTTCCTGGAAACATTTCTAGATCTCATTTGAAACCACACTAGCATTTAAAGCCAGTATCTTCTCCTGTAGGTTTTCTCAATGGTTTTCTCAATAAGACTGGATTTCCTGTTGGACGATCTCCAGCAGCTTGTAAATTAAATTGGAGGGGGGGAAGTGGGGAAATGAGCCCTACCAACCACACTGCTGCTGTCCCAGCTTAATTCAGCACAGGAACAGGAAGCAGTCATAACAAGAATAACTCTCAATTGCTTTGAAAAAAAAACACCCACCTTACTTAGTTCCAAAATTTTACAAGTTTCAGTAGATGACATCGGATTTGTAAATGGTACTTTGTTTTTATTGTAAGTACATAAATGCTGGATACAAAAGATTAAAAATGCTCCGTGTTCTGCTGTTGCTCTCTCCAGCAATCATCAGAGGAGTCCCAGCATGCTACTTCCCACCTTTTAGGAAACGATTAACAATTATGTGATTGGAAATAGCTAATTGCTGTTTTATCTGGACATAACATTGCCACATTAATAATGTAAACCAAAGTAATCCGATAACGGAAACCTCTCCTATGCCATTAGTTCAAATGAGCATTTATGTACTGAATCAGCAAGTCATTCACTGGAGAGCAGTGGGGCTGGGAAGCTGAGGAAGGGGTCAGGATCTATTCTTTCGTATTCCAGTTGATATTCAGCTGGTTTTGTTCAATGTGTTTGTACATTTTAAAATGTCATTTCAAAAAAATAAAATTCAAAGTTGAAAGATGATTTCAAAGCTAAAAAAACTTATTCTGCTTATAGAATAATCAAAATAAAACATTCTGACCTTACTTTGTTAATATTTGAATTTGAAATGGTTTTAAAATATCTTATTAACCTGAATCTCTACTTTCTGGTGAATTAAGTTTTGTTCCCCTGCCTCCTCCTTTCCAATTCATCTGCCTTTTCTCTAATCTGCTCTCCCCACCCCTCTCCCTTCATAATCCTTGCCCACAGCACAGATACTATAGCACTTCAGTTTGAAACCTGCATTTGGCTTCCATGTATCGGATTCTATGAACTGCAACATGCTCCCTTCCTCTATTTGCCAAGTTAGGAAAATAAAATATAGTGTGTGTATACACACACAGTTTTACTCAGGACCAGGCTAGGCTGCAAAATTAGGATCTTGATTTCAAAGACACTGTAGGCAAAGCAAGCTCATTTCAGAGAGCTAGTTTTTTTCTTCTGAAAAAAGAAAAGGGCAGAAGCAGATGTGATACGTGCATCCCAATCCCAATTGGCAAGCTTGGGAACACTTGCAGCAAGGTTTTGGCCCAGGTTCATCCTCATTTGCAGTCACTAAAAGAATAAAAGCATGGCCTGTTTTTGGAAGGATCAAAGGTGTCAGAAATGGAGTAAGTAGATTTTATTTTCTCCTGTGAGTTCTGACAGTTTTCTCAATAAGTCTTGATTTCTTGTTGGACAACTTCCAGCAGTAACTGTAGTTTGTGTGTAAGATAATCTGAAAGGGTGGGAAAAAAAGGAAGGAAGCTTAGTCCAGAGGAAATCCTGATATATGGCTGAAAATAAGAGCTACATGCAAAGGAAATCTGTACTAAACACTGCATAGAGCGGACATGTATTTCATTTACATGCCCACATCTGTGCCTTAACCATCCTGGCCTCTTCCCCAAGCAGATAGACCTCAGGCAGCACTGTCTTCTCCTACCAGTCCTCTCCCCAGCCTTTCAGCAATTATATTTGTTAATAACGAGGGGTTACAGTGTCCGCCTGTCAGTGTCTCCATCCTAACTTTTGGTCTTGGTGCTCAGTCTCAGACAAATTTGACCCAGAGCTGGTGATCTCAAAGGTACAATAAAGTTTAGTAGGAACTAGGGCTGGGGGGTGAAAGCGACCTTCTCAGTTCCCCGTGTTGGCAGACCTCAGCCCTGTCTTTGTTAAAACAAATTTGGCTGTGGAGGCTGTGCCTTGGGAAAGCTGCTTAAGGGGTGCCAGGGGTCATGATTTAGGTTTCATGAGGTCTGTTGGTTATGGAACAATTTGCATTAGAGATGAGCCCTGGGAACAAACCAGCATCCTGAGTTTAGGTCCACAATACTCAAACGCATACTTACAAAACAGGTTACGGCAACGGTCTGACATCTGCCTGTGAATTAGGACGTAGTAGACTGGAAAACCACTTAAAACCGCGGTGCATCCGATGCTAATGCTCACAGGGTCTGAGTAGAAAGACATAGCCACTGTGAAGAGGCAGATGATGGTAAAAGAGACAGGAACAAACAGAGGAACCTGGGGAAAAGAGTACAGAAGACTGTCAGGCAAAACTGATGGCTGTAGCAAATCAGACTCCATACATGCCAGCACACACTGTATTTACTTCTCCATCTAAAGAAGATGAGAAGAAGCATGTATCTGTCCTGCACTGTACTTCTGTACAGTCAGATTGTAAACAATTGTATCAGATTCAGAGACCAGTGTGCCCTGTGAGGTGCATGCCTCCCATATTCATGTGCATCAAAATATAAACCTCACTTACAATTGGAAACCAAGCAAGCAGAGAAGTCACCTATGCACCACTGCTCTCTAAATGCCCTGCTCCTGTGCATGCACATATACCTACTTGTCACCTAGGGCAACTGCTGGTGGAAAATCTGAAGCCAAGGATAGAAGTGACACTTTGAATCAAACTGTTCTTTAGTTATAAAACTCACTACTTGTTTTGATGTGCCTTCAGCTTGCCTAAGACTTACAGTGACTAAAACAGGATAAGGCAGACTCCCTCTCTCTATGGTACCTCTACCAAGAACATGAGCTTCAGCAACACCCTGATGGAAGATGAAAGCAGCAGTCAGCACTTTAGCCATACCCTGCTGGATGAGCCAGTTCATCTGGGTTATTTAGAGAGTAAATCAGAAGACTGCAATAAATAAGAAAACTGTGAAACACCCTCTCCATCTCTGGATCCAAACTCAGGCAAGTAACTCCTTGCCATGGGTGATGGAATGAAGGAGCTGCTGTTCTCATCAAGGGTGACAATCTCTCTTCCGGTAATAAAGATCCTATTTGGGATGCTCACCATGCCAAGCTGGAAGAGATCAGTTGCTCTAGATATTGCAGACATCCAGCCATCAAACTTATGTGCTCCTGCTGTCTTTCCAGCCAGAGCATCCCCTGCCAGCCTCTCCTACGGGTACACACTCACGCTGCTCATCTGCTTGAGAGGCGAGTGAGAGAGCTTTCCTCTCCTCTTACCGGTGTTTTCTCACCATTTTCAACTCGAAATGCTATAGGGAGAATAAATACCAGCACAGTCGCACGTGTGTCCTGTTTCGTTCTCCTCAGGCCCGCGGCAGGAGCCGGCCTGAGTCCGGCCACTAGAGCGCAGCATGTGCCCGCGCCACCTGCGCGCAGCTCCTCCTCTTGCAGAGGACTGCGCTGGGGGCTTCAAGTGCTTGTAAAACTGGGGAGAGAAGGGGCGGAAAACAACCCGACTGACCAAAAGGCCAGTGTTTCCCTCCCTTGCTTAAACAGCGTTTAGGAGCTGTTAAAATTCTGAATCTCTGTCTAAAGCAAAACAGGGCAAAATCTCAGCAACTGAAATGATCAGCAGTGCCACCCACTAATAAACCTCCCCTGAGGAGCTTGGTTTGAAAGAAAAAGCAAAAACTTATTTAAAGTCTGGTTCTGGAGGCATGCATGAGTGCAGCCAGACAACAAACTAGGAACCTTCAAACACATTGTCTGACAGCAAAGAGCAAGAAGAAAAATTACCCCGAACTTTCCATCAGGATGCACATAGCTCAGGGAGGAGCCCTGGGAGCCACAGGAAGTGTTTCTGTCCCCCAAGGTTCTTGCTGACCAGCTGCCCACTGCCAGTGGCCTTTGAAGTCTCTTCTCCTCCCCAGGCCTGGCTGGAGGCACCATGCAGGCGTCACCAGAGACAGGAACAAACTGTGCCTGCCTCAAGCACCACCCTGGCCAAGTGCCTTCTACACATTATGCAGCAGTGGGAAAGGTGCCCCAAGCGCAAGAAAGCTGCTCCAGCTGACATGAGGAAGATCCCAGCACCCAGCAGCTTAAGAAGGGCCACTAGAGGGACCACTGCTTTATACTAGACAGTATTTCTATGCCAGCAGATGCTTCCTCTCGAGTCAGGTTTGCTCCCAGGACCCCTCTGGCCACTCTTCTTACCCCAAGCCCGATACTCTCCTGTTTCTCAGCTAGAGCTGAGAATTACCTACCACTGAAATAAAACTCAGGCAAGGGTCTCTCCTTGTAGCCCACAAGAGATGAGTGTGGGAACTGCTTTCTGTACATCTCCCAGTTCCTAGCCTGAAACTTTGTCCCCAGGAGCAAGTGTTCTTCTAACAGATGCAGCTAGTGACACCACATAGAACCGGCTTAATAGGATTTATCACATCAGGCTGTTTGGGTACATCAACCAATTTCAGGAGCTCACATGCCTTTACTGAGCATCAGGGATTGAGATCCCTTAGAGCCTAAATGCAACTATGACCATGTAATGCTCCAATTACTAGCAAACAAAAGAGAGACTTGACAAGCCTGCACATTCCAGCCTGCCATGTGCATTACCTTGAATGGGCTGTGCAGCTCCGGGTGACGGTGGCGATGGACAATGAGCCCCAGGGTGGCTAATCCTATGAAGAGCCATCGGGAAAAGCTGAAGAAGTTCATTAGATGGTAGATATCTCCAACACACACCATGGCAGTGACCAAAGGGAACTGAGCAGTGTGAAGATGAAACACAGTCATTAAAGCCTTGTCATGGTCCTCAGACTAGAAAGGGTAATATGGGTCACCTCCTGAAGCCCCCCTGCAGCCCCAGGGAGCTACTTCACAGGCCCAACATTTCAGAGGTCAGAGAGCTTTACAAACGTGTCACAGACTGAAGGCAAAAGGCCTAAACACAGTCTTCTGTTGTGCTACAGAAAGGAGCAATCCTTTCAAGATCAGCAAGATCTTTGATGCCTTATGTCCAAGGCAGGGCAATTAAAACAAGCAAGATCCAAAGGCCTGCCAGTACACAGGCTACCTACAAAGACACTTGCTAAGTTTTCAGCAGGTCAGCCAAGCTGACTAAGAGGCACTGCAGCAGTTAGGATGTAGCTGGACCATTGCCATAAAAAAAACCAACCAACCAACCAAAACAAAAAGAAAACCATCTCTGCAAATGTTCATTCCCAGGATTTCCACCGCACCTGGGAATTTTCATTTTCCAAAAAGCCAAAGCTTATTGGTGCTTTCACAGGACAATAACAAGCAGCAACAGTGGTAGGTGGTAGGGAGATCACTTTTAAAAAAGGTGTCCAAGGTTATAAGGCAGGGACTTAAAGTAGTGTATTTGTATACTGATGGCACTGTTGGCTCAAGGGGATGTAATACTTTGCAGCCATTTCCTGTATCATGCCTTTTTTATTTTTCAGAGGCTGAATTAATGTCTCAACAATCTTTAACTCCTCAGCTTGTCCAGTCTTTGCAGGAAAGCCAAGAATGCAAGAACAGAGCATGTTCACACAGCCAGATCTCCTTACCATTAACATGACAGCAGGAAGGGGTGTATGCCTTCGAATGTGGATCATGGAGAAGAGAGGAGGCCACTGTCCTTCCCTGGAAGCCACAAACAGAGTCCTAGGAAAAGACAGGGAGCCCTATGCATTAGCATCCTACATCTAGACTAGAAATGAGATCAGTCACTGAACCAACCTGAGGCCACAAGGCACCCACTCGCTAACCCAGCCCAGGTCTCCTAGTCAAGGCCACAGTTCTGCCTTTAGCTGCACTTTCAGAGAATCATAAAATGGTCTGAGTTGGAAGAGACCTTAAAAATCATCTAGTTTCAACCCCCTTGTCATGGGCAGGGACACCTGCCACTAGACCAAGTTGCTCAGAGCTCCACTTCGGGGGCATTTGGAAGAAAAACCCAGTGTTAAGTTTCCATAGCTCTCCCACAACCAGTTTGTTCAACACAGAGCACAGCCCACCATCAGGACCGCTGGCAGCATCCCCTTGGGTGGCTCATTAGCAGAGACCTTTGTGCAAGTCCAAATTGACCATGAAGGAGTTCAGGCTGGAAACAGGAGCAAGAAAGTCTCACCATCAGAAAAGGGGTTAGTCTTTTCAGTGTAAAGGAAGTGGAGGGATCACAACTTTCATTCCTTTATGAGAAGCTGTGGAGTTTATGAAAGGGGATTGTCGGTCTTGACGCCTATATTTATATATATAAAATGTATATTAAAAAAATGAAGTGCAATTTCCTCAAATAATAGAGAATTTTCAATCCTCAGGTCAGCTGTTGGAAAATATATATTTTGTCATACTGCCAAGAGGCCAGCTATACACAAAACCAGCTACAAAATGAGAGCATAGAGCTCCTTGCCTCCATGCCTCCTTTGACTCATGAAAGGGCAATTAGCAGGGAGAAGGCAATTGCATCCAATTTTATAAATTTAATATCCACAAGCAAACCATGCCAGAGCATCAGCTGGGCTGGAGCAGGGCCCAAAGCAGCTGGGGCATGAGTGTACAACGGGTTTTATTGCTGTCTCTGTGGCTTTGCAGGGGTGTGGCTGGCAGGCAGCCAGGGAGGCCCCATGGATGTTTATATGGACTTTCTGCAGTGATTATGTTAATGACGCCAGGATGGGGGAGAGAAAGGCGATAGGGGACACGAAGAACCTTTGCGCTGTCTGGAGACTTCTCATCCTCAAAAACCACTATCTAGAGGACTAACGGGGAGGATTCTCCACACCTATATTTAATACAGGACTTCAGGCTAGTGGATCAAATATCTCATTATCTTTCATGCTATGAAACATTTCTTTCATTTCAACTGATTTTTCCTTTTGCAATCAAAGCTATGAAACAGAACCTGCTCCAGAGAGTTCTCTCAGCTCCACAGGACCAGTACAACTTACTTCTCTGTGAGCTCTGTCCTCCTCTCCAACCTCAAGGCTCCAATAAGGACACAGAATGTGGTAGACAGAGAAGCTGGAAAGTTAATTTTTCCATGGAACAAAGTGTTTCTTATTGCTACAACAAGACTTTTTGAACATCAACTATTGTTTTAGGAATAGCCCATCCCGATAACATTTCACTGACCTCAAAGTCCTCAAGGGAGAGTTTGCCTTTGGCCAGAGATCCTCACAACAGAGGGACCCTGTGCCCTGCAGAAGTGCAGCTGGGTGAACCCAGTGAAAGAAGAGCCAGGTCTCACCAAGCAGCTGCCAACGTCAACAAAGCTTCTAGTTCAACAGAAACATTGACATTTCACTTTAAACTGGGGATTTAAACTGAAGGGTGGGGGGAGAAGATAAAAATCTTTGTTTGTGACCAGACCTAGCCAGCAAAGTCCAGGCCTGGCCACAAATAGAAAGAACAGAATCTTAGCCAATAGGGACCATCATGCAGTTGACAACGTGAGAGTCAAAGCCTTATTTTTCCCACAGAAATGTCTAAAATGCCATTATGTGTATGGAGAGTTGCACAGGTTGCTGGTGCTTCCCTCTGATTCAGTAAGCCAAAGGAATAATAAATTTGTAGGGATGTGACCTTGAAAATGTGAAGATTCCTCCATTCATGGTTCCAAAGCAGGACAGTGCGACAAGGACAGGGACCACAGAGATCAGGCTTTTGAAGGCTCGCTGCACAAAGCTCTGGAGGAAGAGCAAGCCTGACTTTAGGAACATGTGGTGACCTCTAGGAGACATCAGGTTCAAAAGAGAAAAAACTCTACTCCTAAATCTCGCTTTTTCTACTGTCATCTGCAGGCTATTTTTCCTTATCATTTAGACAAGACTAGAAGAAGTTACTGTTGCCCAGTAATCCAGAGAAATTACAAAGCAACAAAATACTTTATAGGAAAACTACCTCTGAAAGTCTTGCCACGATCACAGTATAAGCTGACCACGCTGAAGAGATAAGAATAGTGGAAAAACTCACCACAGCCACAGCAGGAGAAGCCAGAACATCTTGTGTTCCCAGGACTGTGTAATAGGAGACATTGGTGAGCATGTACCCCACAATTACCGTGATCACAGAGATGATGACAGCCAGGGGGATATTTCTACAAGAAAGAGGAAGACAGACACACAAAGAACACGCTGCTATCCCTTGTTATGCACGGTATTACTGCAGACTGTCACTGGCATTGGTTAGGTGAGCCCACAAACTAATTCCTCCCATGCTGCATTTGGCAAAGCGTGATACCCCAGAAGCTGGTAACCTAAGACAACTTTTTCCCAGCCTTACCGTTCAGGTCTGACCAACTCTTCGCGCACAAAACTGGCCTGAAACCTGGGAAGAAACAGGGAGTCAGTCTGAATCACGCTGAGGGCACCTGTTTGCTTCTCATGAAGTGTCCCCATTCCACCTACCAGCCTGAATATGCGAACATGCCTGCGTAAAAAGCCAGGGGGAGCGTATCCAAAACCAATGACTCTCTGTCAAAAGCATCCTGGAAGTTTTCGGTGTGGCCTGCAGAGGAGATAAACAATGGACATGGAGTAGGGAAATGTCACAGAGAGTCTTCCTTCCCTGTGGGATAACATCCCTTGTACCTCTCATTCAGACCTGGGAGTATTGTTTGTGACTTCCTTGGAGCCAGATATTCAGATTTCTTTCATTGCTTTAATTTGCAGTGCTGTTGCTGACACATTTACTTCCCCACAGTGACAGAAAAAAATCTATCCCTTGTCCAGCTACAGGAGACATTTCAGGAAGGGCAACAGTGACAGATGGTTGTTTCCAACAGAGCCTGCCATGGGAACAGGAGATTGTGGAGAGGAGAAGACTCACGTAGTCCTGTCCTTCCTCCAGGCCCAAAATTAATTTTCTGGGTTGACCCCCATTTTCCCTCTCCAGCCCCCTAAGGAGCTGGACACACACTCCTCTTTGATGTGGTGCAGCCAGCGAGGCGGCAAACTCGGTTCTCACTGTGCTCCCTCCTGTTCCCGCTGCCGGAGCACTGACCCCAGCCCTGCACTGGCCAGAGCATGGGAACTCGGGTGGAGGAGGGAACACGAGCAGGGACTGCCAGTCTGGCCCCCTGTCCAGGCAGGTTCCCTGCCCACCACCCCTGCTTGCCCACACGAGAAGGACACAGACGGAAAAACAAATAGATTTAAAAAGCAGAGGTGGCTCAGATAGAAAACCTGTTTTTCCAACTCCCCCAATTTTCCTACGAGTTCTGTGCTTGAAATAACAAAACAAAACATAACAAAAAAAAACCCCAAAGTCAGGATTTTCTCTAACTCCAAAAAAAAAAAAAAACTTAGAGAAATGTCTAATGGCCTCTCAGTCAAACATAGTTAAAAATAGTTGCATTTCCAACATTTTCAAATCTGGCTGGCTGAAGGTATGGTTTTATGTCTATATTCAGTTTTCCATATTAAAGTCTCTTTAAAAGTAAGAGGCGTGGAGCTTTTCTAGTTGGACTTCACCAGGAAAGGGATGAAATGGCATGGAGCATCTGGAGAAAGTTAGGCCTCTTCTATGGAGGTGCTTCTGCAAGAAGTTCAGAGATGAAATTTGGACATTTTGGTTTGAAATGGTGGCTCAGCAAGTCTCTAAAATAAACCTGAGCCAAAGAGAAGATAATGGCAGAGGAAAAGGCAAAAGTGCAACAACAACAAAAAAAAAAAAAGGCAAAACAAAGCAGGGGAATCAGGCAAACTGGTTTAAAAGGACAAAACTGATTTTTAAGCACAAAAGAAATGAAGTCAAAGTGAAAATAGATTTGAAAAACCTAACCCAAAATGTAGGAGTGGGCCTGTTGGGGTACACTTTTTATGTTCTAAAATGATGGCTGATAAGTCATGGTGCATAAAATAGATTTATTGTCTGCAATGCATTGTCCCTTGTGAGTCACATTAAATACAACCTGTCATACTGGGGTCTCTTAGTGAATTCTCCCTCCAGATGTCACCAGCACTTATCCTCCCCACTGGAGGACCGATGCCAGGGCTCCAGATTGTCGTTTGAAGGCATTCCTAACAATAATGGCTTGGGATTTCTAGCTGCAGGGCAGTCCTTCAGTTCAGAAGCGCTGCCAGCCTGGGAAGGGGAGGGGGGGATGGATCTTTGCATGTTCAAAGGAGCCAGCTCCAGACATCAGAAAGAAACAGGAACATGGAGCCCACTGCCTGTGGTGTTTTCTCTGCAGAGGAAGGTAATAGCACGAAGGGAGGGAGCAAGGAGCAAGCTTCCTCCCTTGAGTGGGAATGACTCGGGTTTTTCTATAAATTGAGGCTTGGATGAAAGCCAGTACTCTTGTATCATTCCCAGAAGATACTACTAGTAGGGTATTTTAGCCCCCACTCTGAATGTGAGCATGCAAGCCTGCAGGATTCCTTTGTAAGTTCCCTTAATTACTGCCCATCTGGATTTGGAGGATAAAAACATTAGCATAAGCCACAGAAAGGTTAGAGATGCCATGACCAGGGTTCGGCTGAGGGCTGGTAACTCATTGCACAGTTGTGCCTGGCTCAGGTCACCAAGGGATGCTGTCACACACCCTTAATGTCCTTCAGATTTGTGCTTTGGAAAGATTTTGAGCCATGCTGGGAACAGGTAAGTCTGACTCCAAAGAAAGACCATCTGCAGAGCAAGGTGCCTGTATGACCCCAGGTAGGACCACACAGCCTAAGGCACTAAGGCCCACTTAGTTTTGAAGAAAGCACCACCTAGCCAGGTGCATCAGCCCAGTGCTATGATGTAGCTTAGTGACAACTACGCTGGTCTCAGATTATCTCCCAAATAATTCGCATCCAGCACATGGACAGAGAAAGCTCCTGGCAGCTAAATGAACACCACACCTTTCACTTGGGATTGATAAAAGCTGTGACAGGCGGGCACATCAAGCACCCTCCCTCAGCCATGCAGCAGCAACACCTACCCTGGGCCAGCAGCATCATCCCTGGCACGATGATGAGTGCAAGAGCCAGGAGTTTAACAACGGAGAGAGCCGTCTGCAGCCGGGCACTCCAGGTGACACTCCAGGAATTGAGGGTGAGGACCATGTCTGGAGAGAAGACCACACTGCTACAGCTGTAGCCCATGTTTGACACGCACAGGAAAAATTACAAAGGCATTCCCTGCTCTAGGGATGCCAGGGACAAGACTGCATCTTTATGCAGGATGCTCAGGGTAAGAGATCTCAGAAAACATCACAGGTGTGGCCCAGTGTACAGCATTTGAAGGTTATGCTCCTAAAAGAGACCAGGATCCTGGTTCCTGCCAGGTCATCCACACCTGTCTGAGGGAAAGGTGCAAGAGTGCTGGGACATCTCAGTAGATGCACTGCACAGCATTGCCTGTGCCAGCACACAGCATCCACAGCAGGCAGGACAGTGTCACAGGTTGTTTGCACCAGGCAAGGAGTCCAAAATCTTGAGCCTTACACCCTCTATCCAGGTGGCATTTGCACAGCTATACATGAAGAGTTTCTGCTCCCATACCTGGCAAAATCTCCCTGACTTAGGGCTCCAGCTGCTCAACAGGGAGGCCCATTCCTCTTCTTGGAGAATACAGTGACCCAAAACCATCAACCACCTTCAATCAGAAAGTTTTGTGTAGCTGAGGAGGTAAGACAGGAGCCAGATCCCACCCTTATTTCAGAGGATATTCAGAGGCACCTTAAGTGCCCCTGGTCTGGGGCAGAGAGGCTCCAGAACTGACAGTCCCATAAATGTTAGTACTTACAGTACCCCATGAGAGACACAAGCTTCACTGCAGGGACAGGGGCTGCACAGGGGGCGAAGAATGGCTCCAGCATGTACCGTCCAAACGCCAAGGCAACCACAGCACTGTTGGCAGGCCTGAAGAGGGGTCAGAGTGGGGGAGGGAACTGAGCACAAACTGGTCTGAGGACAGCCGAAAAACAGCATGAGGTAAAACTGCACAAAACTTGGGAAGGGGTGCAAGTTTCCCCACCTGGCTTAATCTTGCTCACTCATGCAGATGGTGAGTTCCCAGAGTCTTTTTCATAGTTTTTTCCTCAGTAAATGGGTTAAAAACCACATGCTGCAAAAAGATTAATTCCCAACTTGAAAGCAAAAGTTGAGATTAATCATACTAAGCAACGTGGTGTGGTTCATATGTCCTGCTTCATCTCAGTTTACATGAAGGACACAGGTTATTGAGAAGTGAGGACTTCCTTTTTACTCTTAAAAAAAGAAGCCATTCGCAATGTTCTAAATTATTTCACTTGGGGCTAAGCCAGAAAGTTGTCTCCACTTTCTGAATCTGGAGAAACCAAAAAAGTTTCACAATGAAAACAGAAGATCTGAAATAAATCTGGCATCTATTGTCAGTCTCTGAAAAATACCATGGCTCTTGGGGGAAACCAGCTGCCAGAGGAGAAGAGAGATATTCTTCAAGCACAAAACATATTGAACGTGTGTAACTGTTTACTCATTATGCCTTCTTCTTTTTATCACTGAAAAATCTTTAAAAATTGTTCAACTTGTTTCTACTCTTTCCTTTATAAACTGCCTGGACTGTTACGTGGCATCATAACTTTTTGGTTTCTAAATTGTCACTGCATCCAGGAAAAGGCAAACAAACAAAATCTCTTACCTGATAGCAAAAAACTCTGCCCACAGGAATAAGAAGCTTGGCAGAGGCCCTAGCGTCTCCAAAATGTAGATATAATGTCCTCCAGACTTGGTGATTCTTGTTCCAAGCTCTGCATAACACAAGGCACCTGGAAAAGTTCAGGTAAAAGTGTCCCGAGTAAATCATCCCATGGATTTTCCCTTTTCTGTGTGACTTTTCAGGGATTGAATGAATACATTTAAAGTTAGTAGTAAATTAGAGGAAGAAGTACAAATCTTACAAATCTTAAGCCCTGCCTATGTTGGATTTGCTCATCAAAAGAAATCCTAAAACACTTCTCTCATTGAGCACGACTCTACTTGCAGTGGAACTGAGCACTGTTGGATGTGACCCTGTGAAGTAAGAGCATCTCTAGCTGCGCTGTCCACTTCTTCAGCCAGCTCAGGTGGCTGTGGAAGGAGAGTGCAGAGGAACCTGGTGGTGATATGGTCATGACCTTAAGTCCTGTGGCAATCATGCCATATTCAGATCATGCCAATGGTGGCAACCTCAATTTTTCCTGCCTCTCTGTTGGGAAATCTGTGCAGAATCCCTGTTCAAAGCGTAGATGTAGGCAGACAGCTCATCTCATTTTTTCCAGTGGGTCCCTTTACATGCTCTAAGCATGCATTTAAGTGCTCTGCTGAACTCATGCAATGGGACTTGCAATGCCCCGCTTGAAAGAAAAAAAAATCATGAAAGAAAAAAAATCATAAAAGAAAGCAAGTCAGCCTTTTTAACATACTGCAAAAAGGTGTCAGAGAAATGACCAGAGGAGGTCATCAAGCTGATAAAAGGGAAGAAAAAAACCAACAAATTCAGCTACAAAATACGATAGCTTCATAAAGAGGCTCCCAAGGCCCTTCCAGCAGAGTCTATCAAGGGATGCAGGGGAGAGAGAAACCTTTACAAGTGCAGAACTTGGGCTACATGATTAGCACACACATTATCATTTACTGCTCTGCTTGGTTAAAAGAAACACCATGCTCACATTATATCATAAGATTTTCTTCAGGCAAAAGTGTATCAATCACCAAACAACCACACATAAGCTGCAATGTGAAATATTGGTACACATACACTAAGAGCAAGAACCACTCTTGTTGTCATATTAACAATTGAATGCCTCAATTTCTAAACTTGCATGTACGTGTCATGGTGTCGAAGTGGTTTTTTCACATGGAGTATTTCCCCTTTCTTGTTTCTTTTTTCTAAGTTACAACAGAAGAAGAATGTTGAAGTCACCCACTGTAATAAGCATCAGATTTCTCTCTTGGGCTGAGATCTTGCAGTTGTCCCAATAGCACCTTTAGAGAGTTTCTGAGATGGTGATTTTATGCAGTTAATGAAAGAAACTAAAAGCCATGTGTTTTATCCATTTTAACTTTAGGAGTTATATTATTTCAGAAGAACTAAAATGAAACTGTCATCAAAAAGACAACCCTTTGTGAGAAAAGGCTAGTACTAAATGCCAGAAAACGAGCCAAGGGTAATGCACAGAAAGTGGGGCTGAACTGATCTGCTCCATCTCCTGCTCCATGGCAGCATCAGACATACCCACACCATTTCTGACAGACACCCAGACACCCACCCCCAGCTGCTGGATACTCTGCAGTTCCCCAGGCACTCTGCTCTAGAGCTTTGCTATTCTCTCCAACAGAAAGGGGATCCCACATGGCATATTGAGACTGTCCCTTCTTGCCCTTTTCACAGCGCCTATGAGAAGCACAGCACAGCCTTTCCATTCCATTTTAGGAGCCTACATCTCCCTTCCACCTTATAGAAGGGGTCCCCTCATTGTCCTCCAGACTGAGACTCCATCTGCAGTCACCATCACTCCTCTGCCCTGGACTCAAACATGAATTGATATTCACAGATGGTAGGTGCTGGAATTTTGTCAGTCACCCCAGGGGAATCATTTGAACTAACGAGCACCTCCTGGCTTGTTAAACCTTTGTTTCTCTTGCAGTAGAAACCAAGTATTTTGAGTTTGTTCATCTTCCAGCTTTTTATACATGAAAACGTGCAGGCTCTCCTCACCTCCCAGGTGCTTAAGCAAAGGCTGACAAAGCTCACCACTCACCAAACATTGAGAGGAGCCCACAGGCAAACCAGACAACCAGGGAGAAACCCACAGTGCCAGTGTTTTTCAGTACTCCTTTTGGGGAGATAAAGATGCCACTGCCAACCATGCTGCCGATGAGGAGCGAGAAAGCCCTCAGCAAAGTTATCTTTTGCCTCAGAAAGATGGCCTCTTCTTTCTTGTCCTTCCCCATTCTTCTAATCACAGAGGAAGGTCATGCATTCAGAAGCTACAGTCTCCCAAGTGTCCTCAAGGCTCACCTGTAAGACAAGGAGTTAGGGATTCGAGGATCTTCTTTTCTGGACAAGATTTTTTTTCAGAAACCTGTCAAGATCTGTTGAATCTGTTCTCAACTGCAGGACGCACCAAACAAACACAAGTGCACAGAACACAACTGGTATCATCTCTCACATCAGTATAGCTCCCAAGAGGCACTTTAAGTGTTTTCTTCCTCTTCTGTCAAGCAGCACAGAGCATTACATGTTGCATGTCATATTTCAGGATATGATTTGCAAATTTGACTTTGATACCCAGACTGGAACTGGTCAGGTTAGGGTTAATTTAATGGAACCTAATTTGGGGGTACATTGATTTCAGCTTGCGGGCAGAAAACAGATTTAAAGTTGCAAACCTAACAATTTAGACCTTGAGGATCTCTGAGGTTAAAAAACATTAAGCTGCATTAGTTGGTGTGCACAGATGATTTAACCTTTTTTGCTTTCTATCCACCCTTCCTGAATAAACAAGCCTTGTTTTTTCTCACTAGAGTTTCACTTTAGGTGTCAAGCCTTTTTGCTTTCAAAGTATTGAAGAGTCAGAAATACAATTGCAAAACAGAGCATATTCATTACTATCAGACATGTCATTTCTTCCATTAATATAAAAACATTCTTGGTAACAGAAGTAGTGAAGTTTTTCCTAGAAAAGAGGGAACTTCAGAGACTTCAGGGATCACATGAGTTGATCCAGATCTAGTTTGCTCCCAACACAGCAACCTCCCACTTCCCTGCCTTGTCTGTCCCCTGTCTCTCAGTCTTAGGCTGCCACCTTCACCAAGGAACTAACCTTTTGCTCAGGTAGGTAAGGCGAATTCAGATCAGTTACTGCAGTCCAATTTGCTGCAGCAAACCTGTCTGTAGTTTTTGTAACAGCAAGGTAGATACTTTACACTGCTAATTATCCCCGGTAGAGCAGGCAAGGCAAGTAGTAGATAATCCCCACACATCCCCACCAATACTCAGACACTCAGCTTCAGTGCTTTTTTTTTTTTCATTATTCTAATGCAGTAAATTGCAAATATATATAAATTATATATATATATATATATTTGCCACAGCTGCATGTCTGTATACTATTGTGAAGTTACACTGTACATTAGACCCTATTGTATGGATTTATTGAATTATTTAATAATTGCAGTGGTGTGTCTGTGAGGAGATATTGGTCACCTATAGAAGCAAATTTAAGCATCCAGAAAGTGCTTTCTTGATAGTCTGTATTTTCTACCTATAGATATAAATGTCCCCTTAACTTTGAGGGGGACAATTCTTGTTACCAGTCACCCGCGATACTTATTTGCATGCCCTGTGTAAACTCAGTATAACCAAGGGCTTTTCTCCCCCATCTCCAGGTATTTTCCCACCTGGAGACCAGCAGGAGGAAGTGGGGGTTATCACTTTCTCTGCACACATATGTCTAGCACATGCGGAAAGCCCTCTCTCCTGCCAGCAGCGTGAGCTGGTTTCTCTGAGATCATGCCAAGCCTGCACACGCATCTTCCCAATCAAACCAGCCAAGTTTAGTTATTAAACCCCTAATGAGTCCCAGAGGACTCCTTAAGGCTCAGATGGGTCACATCAGCCTCATCTGGTCCCACAGAGCTGCTCCTCAGAGTCCCAAAACCTCACAGGGCTGCTGGAGACAGTGGCTCTGGAGGAGCAGGGAAAGACCCCTGGGAGCTTCCCAACCCCTCAGCTGCAGTTCCCTCAGACACCAATTAATTATCTTAACGTGAAATACCAATATCATCTGGTATTTCTCAGATGAAGTGAGAACCACACAGCATTCATTTGCAGGGGTGAAACACAGAGGCTCACCGAATTGAAACTGAAGAGAGATGCTGTGCACAGCTGTGCCTAAAACACTGTTCTGAGATAATTAAAAGGGCACTTATCTGTTTGGCTGGGCTTTAAACCAAGCAGGTGCATTTACAATCCATCAGACTCCCATTTCTTGCTGGGATCCCGAAGCAGCAAAAGACAGCGTCTCTTTGCAGGCTCTGAAATTACACAGAGACAGAAGGGGAGGAACAAAAAAAAGGAGAGATCAAATCAAATTTGCTGACCAGGTTAATGATCCAAAGTAAACATCAAACTCCGTACTTCTGTCCTCGTGGGTTTTTTGTTTTGGTTTATTTTGTTGGTTTTTTTTTTAAATACCACTGCCATGCAAAAGTATTTGGAGATAAAACAGTCCAATCCAGTAAATCTGAGAAATATGAAATCTATCAGGATTTATTCCAGAAGCTGTTGAAGGAGGAGGAAAAAAGAGGTAAAAGGAAAAATAATATAAAAAGTAATAGAAAGGTATTGAATAACACTTCAAAGAGTCACCTAGCAGAGCCTACCGCTTGGAGAGACCATTCCTGCCTGCTCTGCTTTCCAGCTACAGTCCAACACCAGGCACATTATAATGCAGAGATGTTAATCCTTGTGGCAATGCTTAAGAATATTCACAATGTGCTTGGCACAAAGGAAACAGGCAAAGCTGCTTTTTGTTCACCCCTTTGACTTAAAATACAGGTTCAAATCATTCTTGTCCCAATATGGGATACCTTTGCATGAGACAGATCATCAGTCAGCAGGGCTGGAGAAAAACCTTGCTCAAACCTATTTCACAACTTACCACACATACTGGATCTTTACTCCCTTGTTCTTCATTTATACTGACTTTATTGTTGGTTTGTTTTTTTTAGCTGTTAATCTTACCTCACAGGCACCGCAGCATGGATGGAGATGGAGAAGATAGGCATAAAGAGAAAATCATGTCTGTTATTTGTCTAGAAGCCCCAGCTGAGAGCAGGACCCACTGTGGTCAGCACAGAGGCAGAGTAGATGTTACTCTGCTGAAAAGCTAGTGAGATAAACAAGCAAGTTGGAAAAAGCAGAGGAGGGAGACAGCATCATTCTCAGCTGGGGAGCTGAGACCTAGAGCAACCAGTGACCTTCCTCCTCCTATCACACAGGAAGTGGGTGGCATCCCTGGGAAACAGACTGTACCTCCAGAATTCCACTTCAATGACCTATCCCCCCAAAAAACACCCCAGCTACTAGGGAATACTCCTAACTATTTACAGCTGTTTTCTTTGTGTGGGCCTCAATCAATACCACACAGCCAAGAACAGGTTAACCCCTTCCTTTTCACACTGCAAAAGATGCAGGCGTCAAGCAGTTCCTCACAGTCCCACTGTTTTTATTTTTTTTGTGTGCCAAAAATGTCACTCCAATTCAATGTCCACCACAAGGCACAAGATCTAACTAAATAAAATCAGCAGTGAATGGAAGCTTTTTTATTCATGCATGAAAGTAGCATAAATAAGCTTTAATGAGGCTGGTGGTGGTCTGTTCTGGGAACTCAATCAGAAAATCTATTTAGGAGACCTGAGAGATGTTTGTTTACAGACCAATATGAACACAAGAAACACACTGAAAGGACAAGACATGCAGCTCTACTTCTTTTCAGCTTTCTACAGCTGGTTTGCCACCCTGGATAAGAAACTGAAAGGGACAGTAGTTAATAAATCAGACTCAGGCTCACAGTCCCAGATGTAGTAATAAATCCATGCAATTGCCTTAGATGTAAATGTAAAAATAATTTCCATTGGCTTCTCTTTCTATAGAGTTTCACAAATATAGTCTTGTGAGTTGTCTACCAAAAGACTACTATTTTGTAACATATCTGCCTTAATGATATTTTTTTTTGCCTTGACTGCAAAATGGCTCTTGGTTCAGCTCACACCATATTTATCATCTCATTTAGGCATTTCCAGTTGTCCTTCAGACAAGGGTGACTTTTTCAGGAGAGGAGGCTCATGATATGGTAAGTCTGGACCTCTTGATGATATGAGGATGACCTTTTAATAGAGAACCTAAAAAGTGTTGAATCCACACTTTACCTCTTTGGCTAGAAATTAGACTAAACCAAGTCTGGTTTTCAAGCAGCTAAATTGCTGTTGCTTTCAGAGTTCCTTCCTACCAGGATTTATATTCTACAGCAAGTTTAAAGTTCTTCATTATGACCAGTCTGCAAAGCAGACACTTCAAAAGAAGATATTTTAATAATAACTTATCAATAATATTATTATTTTTTATTAAATATTATAAATAATATTCCGTTTCAGTCTCACAGAATGTACAGATCATATGTCATCCCACTTTTCTAAGTATTCAAGTATAACTCTCCATTCAACTGCCACAAGGAACTTGTACTTCTATGTATCCAGAACTAATTTCCCATTAATGTTGTAGAGGAATATGGACCCTTTCATGAACATTTCTTCCTCACATGTTGCCCGTGACACACAAAACACAAATATGGGAGAGATGCACAACTGATTAAAATAGACTCAAGTATTCTTCTACAACACTAACTATTAAAGACTATCAGGAAGGTATACCAGCATCCCTGTGAAATGAACTAACATTCATAAGTTTTCCTTTCTTACAAGCAGAAGAGAATACCCAAGGCACTTGCCTCCCAGCCCATCAGACCCAAAGGAGCAATACCCAGGGGACCAGGCACTGGGACACAAAAATCCAAGGGGAAAAAAAAAAGCCACTTAACAAGATGCTGTCTCACGTAGTGGTGCTTCCTGAGGCCAACATCTTGGCTCTACAGTATGTCTTGTGGGGCACAATGCAGGGAACTGCCCTTAGAGGTTTGTTCTTTTGTGGATGGCTCTCCAAGTAGCAAGCTGTTTTCACTCTCCAGATCAGACCTCCTCCCTGGAACAAGACAATTTGTCCTATTTGAAACTGTTTTCTTAGCTGCGTAAGACAGAACACAAACAAAAATAAATCTAAACATTTCTAGCAGAAGACACCCAACAGAGAAGTTAACGCTGTAGCAAAGTACAGCCAAAATTTTCCCAAATGAGAATTCTTCTCAAGCACTTCAAATTAAAAAAAAATAAATAAATCCCATAACAGAGAAACATACCCCCTCATTTCAACAGTTTGTGGCACTGCATGAGTGCTGAAGTCTAAGGGTTTATCTGCCTTTGATCTGGAGCTGGGCAGTGCCAATGTTCAACAGCTCTCAATCCTGCAGGGAAAATTCCTCCATGAACCAGGTCTTTGTTCTACCTCCTGCCTTGGCTGAGGGCTCTAAAAGACACTGCTTCCTAGCCACTGCTTGGTGACTTAGCAAAGCAAGTTTAACAGCTTCACGTTATTGTGTGGGGAGCTGTTACTCATCCCTGGGACTGTGGAGTTGCTATGATGGTAGTCTTTATCAAGGCCAGTATTCCCATCAGTGACAGGCCAATGACACCATCATCCAGAACCACCCTGTGCTTTAGAGTGGCAGAGTAATCACAAAGCCTCTCCATAAATATTCTCCAAGAACAAGACACATTTCCCGAATGGGGGAAAATGCCAAAATAGCCATGTTCATCACCAGCTTTCCTCACAAAGAGGTAATTGCCCAGTAATGCAAGCTATTTTATCTTGCTATGGAGTCAGCTCTCTCCAGGTGAAACTCTGGAGTCAGAGGAAACTCTCCCCTGCTTCTACTATTGTCAGATGGTGGGCCCCATCAATGGGGGCTCCTGATCTACCCCTGCTTTAACCATCTGGAATGGAATCCTTTGAGAACTAACTGCAGTAATAAGACTCCTCTTTCCATATTGCCTCATATATTACACTAGTTTTCCCCTTAATCTCACTGCAGTGCTGTTGATTTATCACCCCAGGGCTCCAGCTCCCTTCAGACTCAACCACAGTGCCTGGGTTTGCTTCTTCTCTTCCCACCTTTAGGGAATTCAAAAGAAAATTTAAAGACTTAAAACCAACAACCCTTTACACCTGCATTAGCCACTCACTTTGACTGCTGCTCACTGCCTAATCCATAGTTAATCCTCCACGTTTTATGCTAAATCACCCACTCTGGCACCTGACTTGCACACAGCCCAAACTCTGCCTTCATCA